TGAGAAAAATTTCCTAACAGTTGCCTTACCCTAGCTTGGAAAATTCGAGAGAAAAACAACAGATTTCAATGAACTTCATTGGACTTTGAGAGACTTCTAGACTGAAGTCTTCGCTGTTTTTTCTTCGGGAAAATCTCTATTCTTCTCTAACTTTACCTTACCATGCAGGAGTGTTTCAAGCAGAGAAAATCCCAATCTTGAGAAACTCTCCTTTTTTCCGAGCAAAACTAAACAATTTTCTTCGTTTTTTTTGTTTACCAATCCTTGAAAGAAGAGTCGTCCGACCCTCCCAAAGTCGTGAACTATACCTTCTCATTAATCGTCCCTAATCTTGGCGCCTTCCGAACTGCCCTGAGATGAGGTGCAGTGACCCTAAACAATCTACTGAAAATTACTAAACACGCCTATTTGAATACCAAAAAAGTTTTTTGTCAAAAGCCCATGGTTTTCTAAGTAAGTGTTATCAAAGATCTAGCTCGTAATAGAAGGTCACCTTTGATAAGTCATGTGAACTTTCATAACAGAAGGCCATAGTCTTTTATTCTAAGAAGATGATTTATATCATTTGAAATAAGTTGAGAAAAAAAAATCCATTGTTCATGATCTTTGTAGAAGAAATTCAATTTATTTATTTATATTTTTGAAACTTTGATATCATTTATTATAGATAAAGAACGAGAAAAAAATTCTGATATTAACATTCCATCAGCTTCAATTGATAATGATAACAATGAAATAGAATTAAAATTAATACGTCCTCGAATTCAATCATTATCATCAATTGAACAATATGACTTAGGTCAATTTGAATTTGATTCTATTTGTCGTTTACATAAAACAGCTGTAAGACGTATTGTACCACATCCATTATTACCATCAACACATTTATTAACAATAGGTGATGATGGTTTTTTACGTAATTATATGGTTGATAGAAGTAAAATTGATACATTTTATTTTATATCATCACGTCCATTAACATGTTTAAAATCAATTCCAGTATATGTATCAATAAATACAACTGAACGTTGTTCATTAGCATTTATTGGTAGTTATGATCATTCATTATATATTTATAATTTAGAAACAGGTACATCATTATTATCACAAGTTTTACATGATGATATTATAACAGATTTATATATAACAAATCGATCAACACCAACACTTTTATGTACATCATCAAATGATGCAACTGTACGTATATGGTCATTAGAAAATCTTATTTCTATTCATAATGATAGTTATATATTTCAAACAAATTATCATTTATCATCAATTATTCATATGCAATATGATATTACATTTGATTCATCTTGTACTTGTATGTATGTATTAGAAGAACATTGTCTTTTAACTGTTGGTTGTCAAGATGGATCAATATATATATGTAATTTTCAAACTGGAGGAATATTAAAACAATTAACATCAACATCACCATCATTACCTATTTTATCATTATCATTACGTTCTGATGGTCTTTTTCTTGCATATATATCATCAAGAGCAGTTACAGTAGTTGATATTATAACAGGTACAGATGTATTTACAAAAACATGTTTATCTGATGAACAATCATTTAATACATTATTTTATTCATCACATATGTTAATTATTGGTTTAATAAATGGCTCATGTGATGTATGGAATTTAAGAATATGTGAAAAAATTTATACATTAAATATATCGGATAATATAAGTATAACAACAATAACATATAATGATGGAATGTTTTTTTTTGGTACTAATGATGGATCTGTACATTCCTATGTATTTGCAAGTCGACATCAATTATCAATCTAGTCTTTTTTTGATTAAGTAATAAGCATAAAACAATATTTAGAAAAAGATATGTTTATTTTCTATATTTATTTTTATTTTTCATAAGTGATACTTTATATAGTATCAATTGACGTATGTGCTTAATATTGTTATGTTTATTTGTTTGTTTTGCATTTTCTTTATTTTATGTTATTTGCAAAAGATGAAAATCGATCAATTTTTTTTTTATTTGTAAGCTTCGTTGATAATAATAATAGAATTTTTAAAAACAAATAGTTAAATATTAGGAGAACAAAAGAAAAACAAAGGCAGAGAAAATGAACTAAAGTCTTTAAGAAATAAATTTATATTTCATCAATAAATTACAAATAAAATTGTAATGAGAATTTAGATGATCTTGATTTATATCTAATAGAAATCAATACCAAAAGAAAAAACAAAAATTGTTAGTGCAATTCCAGTAGGATTCAAATATGAAAAATGATATAGCTGCTGTTATTAATCATAAGAAGATTGTTCTCTGCTGTCTACATGTCTTCAGCATTGTTTTATTTAAGACTCTAGAAATACAATAAAGAAGTAATTCATATACGGTCTGTGATTGTATATCAATAGTGTCTCTTACAAACTGTGTGGTGTCCAAGTTTTGATTTCTATACTTCAACACTCCCTTTAGATCGTATTTTACACAGAAAGATATCAATCAAGATATTATGTCATAGAATATATTTTTGTGATAGAATAAATTATGAAATTTCTAGAAGGATAATATTCGAAATATGAAACCTTGATATATGCTCATCGAATGCTCTTGAAGTCTATAATGATGAACTAGTACATGAAAAGATCTAGTCAATGAATATCTTTAGAATGAGAATGTAACATGTTCAATATAAAAATTCATAATTATTGTAAATAATTTTGTAAAATTCAAACATATTTTGGAAGGAATTAATGAGTGTAAGTTTTAAGCCTAAGTTTTGCGGCTCTCTCTATTACGAACCTTAGCCACCGAGTACAACAACCATTAGACTCTGTCTTCCCGAGTTCCTTAGTGATGGAAGAAGGCGCTAAACAATATTAACGATAAGATTTAGACTGTTCTAAAGAATTTCTGAACATTCCAAAGGCTTCCTTAAAATTTAAATGGCTAAAAACGTTTGAGAATGTTCCAAATAGTGCAGCTTTTGATTTTTGCATAGATAAAAATTTCTATTCTAGATATCAGTGACGGTGGGTAAGTGATGCATTTATTTGCCATAGTTGTCATGTAATCAATGTAAAAAAAAACAACAATTGATCTATTTATTATTTTAGGAAATAATTAATATCAGTATTTCGGAGCTTATCGACATATATAGCAGTGTGTTAAAATCTATTGTAGATATAATTGATATGTACAACGGTTATTCGCCAATATTTAGCATAATAATAATGTTAGATTAAGAACGATAACAAGCAAATAGCAACAAGGCAAACAATTGAAAAAAATTCTGTTCGAAATGTAGAAATAAATAAGACAGATCGTTTCTCTAGCGATCAGTTATCTTGGAAAAACAACTATAGTCTACGAGAGATTTTCCATTTTATATATTTTGTACTAGTATAATGAGGCTAAAGAACACATGTAAATTCTACATTTCAGCTCCAATGAGGTTGCGTTAACAAGCTTTTTTTTCTCGAAACAAAAATATATTTAGATGATACCCGAGTATAAATTTTAGCAATGGTTTCGAATTATCTTAGATAACACGCATGAAACATTTGAAAACAAATTTCCTCTATTAATGCTAATGATTGTCCTTGTCATGTTTCTTTTTTTTGCATGTTAAATAAATGATAATATGAATGAATCAAGAGAATTGACTATAACAATATTAAAGCTGTCGCAAATCTTTTGTTTTATTCAATCTCAAAAAAGAAATATAATTTAAGTATACAAAAGACAATCCTTCCAACAACTGAACCATATTGCAGTTTCGAATTGATGCTAATCAAGACTATGAATGTGAGTTGTTTTTGTCGATATTGAAAAGACCAAAAGATAGAATGTGTGATTTTATAGAATGGCAACAGTAATATTGACAAACATTGTTTACTTAATATAGAAAAAAAGAAGAGTCTAGATTTTTGAATATGTTAATGATTTTTTAATGTTAAATTTATAAGAGAAAAAGAAGTTCGATGTTATACTAGACTTTTGACCCGTATGAAGGACGATAGAGATAAATCTATCTGCAATGTTCACTGCTTTTTATGAGAATGTTAAAAGTTTCTATATATTCTTGAACAGAATATTATTCAATGACTTAGCTACTATTTTGACTGTCTTAATAATATATAACTTTATCTAAATATAGTACAAATTTTCTTTCGATAATCTCTTTATAAAATGTATGGCGTGATTGTCTTTATATATGTACCATTGCTTTGTACATGGAATGATTTTATAATTGCACAAACCAATAAATGTATATGTATATTACATTCTCATACTTTTTCTATTCTTCGATATTTTGCTTTTTTTTCTTCTACGCTCGCGTTTCCTTACTGTTTGCATTTACAAGTGTATGTTTTTTAGTAAATGATAACAGTCAATGGTAACAATAAGATATTGTATTCGTCTCTTTATATCATTCACATGGCAAAAAATACTTTTTCTTTTTCTTAAATTGGTCATGAGTATCATAGAAAGAGAAGATTGATTTACTTTATTATTCATAATTTTCTTTGCTATATTTTCTATTTGATCGATACTATCTAAATTCGTATGGTTTTCATAAAATGTTGAAAACCAACGGAAGAACAAAAAAAATTAATGAAATAAGACAATATTACAATAAAAATAATTCTATCGAAAATATATAAAATCTCACTGAAAGAAAGCACTCAAACGTAAATGGTTAGTTTTGTATGGCGTGAGTATGAGTTGATCTTGCTTAAAACAAACGAATAGGTTTAATAAAGATAAAAAGAGAAGTGCTGTTTTTTTTACCTCGAATAATCTTTTTATTACAAAAATAAGAATAAAAACAGAAGAAATTAGAATAGAAAACTAGGTAAATGTCAACTAATTCACCATTTTGTTTGTCATGTCTCAACAAGTCATAATTTGTTAATGTGATCATTTGATAATGAGTCATACGTACTTATCGCAAAAAAAGTGCCATACAGTAAAATCTTTATCTTTTTTTTTAGACGAAGTATATAATCAAAAAATGAGTAAAGAACAAAAAGAATTTGATGGTACACTAGGAGCTATTAGTTTAATGATATTTTCTCATTTTATACCATTTTATTTTACTTTATCATTACGATATAATTCCGGTGGTCTTTATTATCCATCATCGTTTAATGAATTTATAGAAAATGTTCAAGAAACATATTCACCAACCTGGTCAGCTTGTTATCTTTATATGGGATTTTTTCTTATACAACTTATACTTGCTGCTATTTTACCTGGTCCTGAAGTTAAAGGTTTATCTGTACCTACTGAAAATAATCGATAATATACATATAAATGTAATGCATTAACTAGTTGGTATTTAACATTAATATGTATTAGTGTATGTCATTTTACTGGTATATTTCGCATGACAATATTAGCTGATCAATTTGGTTCAATACTTTGTGTAGCTGTTATATTTAGTGATATTTTATCAATATATATTCATTTATATGCTTTAAAAACAAATCAAACATGTCGAATGGCACATTCACCTATTTATGATTTTTTTATGGGAATTTGGTTAAATCCACGTATTCGAATTTTAGAACAAGATGTTGATCTTAAAATGTTAGCTGAAGTACGTTTATCATGGCTTTTATTATTTCTATTAATTATATCTGCTGCATTAAAACAATATGAAATATTTCATACAATAACATGGCCAATGATATTTATTTTAACAGGTCAAATACTTTATATAAATGCTTGTATGAAAGGTGAAGAATGTATTCCTGTGACTTGGGATATATTTTATGAAAAATGGGGTTGGATGTTAATCTATTGGAATTTAGCTGGTGTTCCATTTGTATACGCATTTCAAGCATATTATATTCTTGTTAATAGTTTACGTATATAAAAATCTAATGAAAATATATCAATGACATTTATTATTATATTATTTATTGTACTTATTTTTGCTTATTATATATGGGATTCTTCTCCATCACAAAAAATTCGTTTTCGTATGCAACAACAAGGAATATATATAACACGAAATGGATTTCCACAAGTTCCATGGAATGAAATAAAAAATCCTAAATATTTAAAAACTGAATGTGGTTCACCATTATTAATTGATGGTTATTGGAAATATTGTCGTAAACCAGCATATACAGCTGATATATGTATGGCAACATGCTGGGCATTATCATGTCATCAATGGTTTGGTGTTTTACCTTATTTTTATCCAATATTCTTTTTTTTCATGATTATTCATCGTTATACACGTGATATGACTCGATGTCAAGCTAAATATGGTAAAGATTGGGCAACTTATTGTAAACGCGTACCATATGCATTTATTCCTGGAGTTATTTGAAATTTTCTCTAAGATATGTTTTTTTTTCCTTAGTTCTACAGTATTATCCTATTCTTTCTTGTTCTTTTGTATGTATAAAAATACATACATCATATATAAATAATTCAAATTACTTATCTGAAAATGATTATTAATAATTACGACAAGATTTTTAAAAAATAATATACAATGATTTCAAAGATTGATTGTACAAATTTAACTTCTCATAGCAATTCTAGACGAGCTACTGATGAAATAAACGGAGAATGACTTCTACCTAAAGCTTTTCATAAATTTGATGTAATTCGACGAAAAAATGTCGTAGAGAACTCGAGGATATCTCATTTTGTAGAGAATGATTTGCTCTATCATTTCATGTGATGTGAATAAATTTTATGACCAAATTGTAGGCGCTAAAAAAACTAACGATTTGATGCTCTGGACAACGCATAGAGACTATTCTGTGTCTTACTATGTCTTTTCTATCTAATTTTTGCGAAACTTTCGAATAGTATTCATACAAGTATTGTCGGCGCCAGAAGTAAATGGGAAAAACTCTGCGAAGAATATCTCCCGAACGGATGCAGCTAGCGAGCTGATCTTTTCATCATTAGAAAGAGGACACTCTGAGGTACAAGTGTATGCTATATTCAGTGGGT